GTGTCACGTTGTTTTTACCATGTCCAAGCGCCTTTGCTGGTCTTGTGAACCACGGCCATTCTGAACAGGGTTAACAAGGAAACATTTAAGCTTCGTTACGCATGTATGTTCCGTTTTACCTTATTAAAGCAGTGCGTGCGGGCTAGACGCTGACGGAACCATTTTTGTAACTTTTTACTCATACATTTGTTACAACTTTTTTCCACCATGCAGTCTGGAAATGTGCGACCGCAAACTGTGCACAAATAATATAGCAGTAAATATATATAATCCATTCCCAAACAAAGGTAGGCTTTGCCTGAGTTAGATACCTGTCATGGCCTCATCGTGCGTCGGAATTTTCATACGCGCCGTCGAAAATGCAGGGTGCTTTGAACACCTCACATCCCGCGGGGCCCAAGCGCTGCCAAGAAATAAGTGGCGTGTCGCGGCCGAAGGTCAGCTTTTTCAAGGAATATTGCAACTGATAGAGATGCCAGACAGTTCAATGCGGATGCATTAAAGCAAACGCCCGCGGCTCACTTTTAGGACGAGGAAGGGAACCGGTATGCGCACACTGAATGGTCTGGGCGCAGCCAGCCAAGCTGGTATCACATTGTCACATCAGATTTACGCGCTTTGTTTGTCACGAAATATGGACATGGCTATCGGATGCCTGTAAGCGTCAAGTTGGCCAATTTTATTTGGTAGACACCATTAATCTTGCAATAAATGTTCGTAAATGAACGTACGCATCATCATTAGTTTGTCGCAGGATCTAGGAAAGAAGCATGCTGACGCCAGTAGTACATGGATGAATGGAGCCCTATTTAAGCTTTTGCATGCAGCTGGCAAACTGTATAAAATCCGCCTCCCGTCCGAGAATTGGTCAAGGTGGTCTGGAGTTTTGCAATATAACGCCGTGCAGCTCTCCTGAGCCAGAAACGTCAGTGTTCTTTGGTGGTTCTCCACTGCAATCGCTACTTAAAGCTATTATAAAAATGCATCACCCTAATATCACTTTGTTGTTATTGGCCCGCAATACCGTGTTGTTAATTTTGCCTTAATATGCACGCACGACATCGAAGGCAAAATGCGCCAGTCCCGCTCCAAATTTAGGTTATTTTATCCATCCGAAGTGTGTTATGAGGAATCTGATACGACGCGTGCTGAAAACCGAGGCCAAGTACATAATAATATTTAAAACAGAAAACGCCCTCCAACATGTCCACAGCGATCCAGCTGCTTTCTCCGGCTGCAAACGTGCATTTTGCTTGAATTGCACGGTAGCTGAACTAATTTGTTGTCGTTAAGCATGTGCGCTCGTTACAGTCGGTTGGGTTATTTCGGTCTGGATCAGCGAACGGCGATGGTTTGTCGTGAGAGAAAGTTCGTGAGATACAGTGATAAGCCCATTTGATGATTACCTTGTCCTTCGCGTCTAGAGTTCCCCCTCTCCCGTTTTCTACCGTTCCATCCGCTAACCCTTTGGTGTGAAGCGGTGTGTGACATTTGCTATTATCCGAACGGCCAGTTCGGCGGCGCGCCGTGGCGGAATTAATGGCCCGGTCGGCGTCCGGGTAACGTCTTTTTACAGCAGAAGTGGCAGACGCGGATGGGGTTTCATGTGGGCCAGCCGGCAGCGGGGCCACGCCGCCCGCGTGACGCCCTCCCAAAATGGGATGTGTCTTTAATCTCGAACGCAGTCTTGGGAAGAAGGCTTAAACATCATTATTCTGTGAAGTGGCTGAGTTACCGCCATGACTTTCGCTGCGAGTTGTATTAATTCTGGGTTACGTTATATTTGTGTTACCTTTTTAGGTCTACTAGGGGGCAACCGCACATTTAGCGTTGATGGCGTCCAATGTGTGTCGTTTACACCTGGGAACAACGGAGTTGGCAACAAGTGGCAGCGACAGAAATGACTCATTGCTCCGTAAGGTACTGGGCTCCGGCCCCCAGCGGCCGTCGAGGCGGTGGCGCCATCACAGGCACGCTCAAACATCTCACTGACGTGTTTTTTTTTTTAATGGCAACCATCACTGAAACGTCCGCAGTGTCGACACAATCACGTGACATCTCCATATATGGCCGTTTCGAGCGCCTGTCCTCCTCTTCGGTACCGACCGGTGATATGTTGGTCATCGGCCATCTTTTTATCAGAAACTTGACCAGGCTCTCGAGAGATCTCCAGATAGCTGTTAGATAATCCTTGGTAAAAACAACTTGTCGGGAAGTCTCCGCTCCCACCACCCCAGAAGAGGAATTCCAATCCGATGGAAAATGTTCGCCTACATCTTTACCCCAACGAGCAGCGCTTCGCGATCGCACGGCCCGCATTATATGGGTCGGCTGTGTTGGCCATGGGCCAACTGGTTTTTAGATACGAGTCCCACAAGCACAGATTTTAAGACGTGAACTGACTTGCCTACCGCACGTGGTTCAGCGACCGATTCTGCGGCAGCCGAGCAGCACGTGCGACGTACTAACGGGCGTGGGTATGCGCCAACCAGGTATGCGCTATAGTTCCTATGTATACTAAATGCACGCTTTTATCATCGGTGCAACCTGTGGCATTTGCGAAACATCCTTAACAAATCAGGGTAGCTCGAACAGTTCACATGCATATTTATTCATTCTGTTTGGCTACTGGGTGACTGGGCTGAGCCCGTTCCTGGTGCTGCCTCCCGGACCAGGACCGCTACGGGACGCGCCTGTTGGCAGAGTGGCCCACCTCAATACCGCCGCTCCTCAGACCCCCTGGCCTTTCGTAGCTCTACTGCAAGTCCGACGGAATTTTTGACCTACGTCATCAACTTTAATTATTAAAACAACTTTGCACGGACAGGGTTTCGGGAACCGGTAACATAACTTTTAGTAACGTAGCGAGCTGGAATATTCCCAACCAAGATCGTATGTTCTCGTACATGCAGTATCTTACGTTTGTAGGACTTTGCAGCTTGTAGCTAGGTTACGTAAGGGAAATCATGACGATTCACCAAGTTTTATGGTATAACCTCACACGTCACAAAAATCACAGACGGCTAGCGGGGTGTCTGAAGGACTCACCTGCTGTGAACACAAGCAGGGCTAGTGCGGTGGGGGCGATCCGGTTGTGTCGTGACTGACGTGGCTGTAGCGCAGTGGCCGGTCCGGCTGTGTCGTCACTCACATGACTGCAGTGCGGTGGCCGGTCCGGCTGTGTCGTGACTAACGTGGCTGCAGTGCAGTGGCCTGTCCGGCTGTGTCGTGACTGACATGACTGCAGTGCAGTGGCCGGTCCGGCTGCGTCGTGACTAACATGACTGCAGTGCTGTGGGCCGGTCCGGCTGTGTCGTGACTAACGTGGCTGCAGTGCAGTGGCCTGTCCGGCTGTGTCGTGACTAACATGACTGCAGTGCAGTGGGCCGGTCCGGCTGTGTCGTGACTAACATGACTGCAGTGCTGTGGGCCGGTCCGGCTGTGTCGTGACTAACGTGGCTGCAGTGCAGTGGCCTGTCCGGCTGTGTCGTGACTGACATTGCTGCAGTGCAGTGGCCGGTCCGGCTGTGTCGTGACTAACATGACTGCAGTGCAGTGGGCCGGTCCGGCTGTGTCGTGACTAACATGACTGCAGTGCTGTGGGCCGGTCCGGCTGTGTCGTCACTAACATGACTGTAGTGCAGTGGCCGGTCCGGCTGTATCGCGACTAACATGGCTGCAGTACAGTGGGGCCGGTCCAGCTGTGTCGTGACTAACGTGACTGCAGTGCAGTGGCCGGTCCGGCCGTGTCGTGACTAATACGTCGGGTTTTGGCCGGCCTCGTGTCTGCCACTGCCATTGCCACAGCCACTGGCCGACGCGTTTGTTTCGAGATAAATCCTGGTGAATTTGGCCCATTTGAGTTGTTGAAGTTCCTCCTCAAGAGGACTTGGCCACTGTCAGCTGCGCCTTGGCCCATGACTTTGGACGACACGCTATAAACCGCGTAATGCCAAGTGACTAACACAGGCCGGAACAAATTTGTTGCCCTGTTCGAACAAATTGGATGGTAATGCAGCGTCCATTTAGTGAGGGCGTCTCCCAACACATAGAGGATGTGGGCGCTGGGAGCAGCATCCATAAGACCAAAATTATCAAGAATTGAATGGAAGAATACACATTGTGGGATAACGATCAGGACCAAACATAGGTATGTCTTGCGATCGCAATAGATGTATGCCCGGGCAAACAAAATCTAATCCTCAAGAATGCAGAAGGTACGTGATGGCTTGGAGGCTCGATCCCTCATCTGCGCGCCATGTGCTTTCAGCGGTGCATTAATCGAACGTGGGCTGGGCTTATTTCATGCGTCGGAAGTTAGCGCTTCGATCTCGTGCAGGCCGGCTCTGGCCGGCCAAATCCCATGCGGATGTGTGTTATTTGTGTCACGCTCTCCGAACGCTCGTCATTTGCCGTGCCTGTGTCGTGCGACACACAATCCCCGTCTTAATTAAGCCCCGGAGCGCGTGTCACTCTGTCCGTTTTCTTGTTAGCGGCCGCTGAGCGGCGCTCAGCTAAAGGTCTGGCTTGTTACCCACAACAGAGCACTCCTTTCCTTCCGCGCTTCGCTGGCACAGCTAATTTTGCCACTAATTGACACGGGATACAGTCCCGTGCCGCGCTTTATGAAACATTATCGGCGCGAAAAACAAATCCGCCGGCAGCTCCACCGGCAACGGGTTTGTCCTTTTGGCGCTGAGCCGCTTGTCGGCACGCGAAAACAGAAAAAGCCGCATTAGGCCCGCGCGGTCGGCGCCATTTCGGGTCCTTTCGCGCGGCCGCCGAAAACAAAGCTCGTGGGCAGATTAGCGGTGCGGCCGAGACCGCCGATCTCCAGCGAACGCTCATTCGGCCAAACATTATTTGTTTAGCCAATTAGGTGGGCGACCGGTGAGTGGGGCGACGGCTGTCGGGCACGGCTCATTAGAGGTGGTATGGTGGCGGCGCGCGCGGCGGTGCTGGCGGCTGGCCATACGACAGGCGACCGCCGCCCCGACAGCATGCAGCGTCCAGCCGCCTCCGAGCCGGCCGCGCCGCTCAGTTACCTGGACGTGCTACGCTACCACGAGCTCTGCCAGTCGCTGTACGGGCCGGAGCCGGCGGCGGCGCCGTGGCTAGCGGCGCCGGGCCGGGCTTGGGTCGAGCCGGGTCAGGCGGGGGTCGGAACGCCGCCGGCGGTCGGTCGGACCGCGCCGGCGGACGGAGACTGCGGCCGCCGTCCGCCAGCACACGAGGCCAGCACCGGCCGCGCCCGGCTCAGCGACTTCAGCATCGAGCACATCCTGGCCGACGGGCGCGGCCGGCAGCAGAGCGAGCCCGGCAGCCAGCAGCAGTACAACTGGCTCAGCTGCACCCGCTACAAGCCACCCAAGCTGTCGCGTGAGTAGCTCAAGCGCGCCGGCCGACACAGCGCGGCGGCGCGCACCGCTTACACACAAGACTACTAGCTTGATGTAGCTATTGCAGTTCATGCAGCTTCAGTACGCAGCTGTAAGCGTAAGGCCTCGTGAAATACATCGCCCTGCAACAGCACATCTAATTCAGTTTGTGTGTGCGCGTGCGTGTACGTGGGTGTGCGCGTGCGTGTACGTGGGTGTGTGCGTGCGTGTCATGCCAGCAGTGGTATGTTCAGCTCGGCTCGTGGTTGGCGTGCCGTCGATCTGGAGAAATCCGCACCATCATACGCTATTATGTCTCACGTTATCTAGGTCCTCGTAAATAGTGCAAATGTCAGCTGAAATTAACACGAGTTGCCAGCAAACGAATTTATGTGTGGAATATGAGCGCTCATTTCCGTACCTCGCTTGCCGGGCGCTTCTTCGGCATGAATATTAATCGATTTGAATATGCAACTATCACCCTGACGCTCAATGCAATGGTGAGATGAAGCTATGATTTGTTCCTTAGCAAAAGAAAAGTTATTATCAGCCGCACGATTAATTGTAAATGATGGGTGCATAAAGCTAATACATTTTATGGGTAACGAAGGGAGTATCCTACCTTTGCGACATATTTCAAAAGCATACACTAGTGAAACCTCAGGATTAGTTACGTCTGGTAATAGCACTGGGTAGCGCCGCTGCAACACCGGCAAGTCAGAACAACGGTATCAACTTTAATTATCTATCGTCCAAATTACGCTGTCAACGCTTTGTAACAGCCCTAGGCTTCTTCCCTGCAGTCGCAACCACCGTCGCCATGACATCCAGTGTGCACCTCCATGTAGTGGTGCGAATAACAGAGCGTTTGTGATTGGCCCAGCGCGCAAGAGCCTGCTACTGAAAAGTAAGTCGGTTGCAGTTTAAACCAATGCCTCACATAGATCATGAGATATTTCCAAAGCCAAAGTGCGCCCCAAAAAGAGCCGCTGTGGTTAACGCTCGGGGGAGAGACAAAAGTCATAGCATAACATTTCGTTGAATTTACGAGGTAATAGCTTCATTCTCGCATATTTTGTTGCCTATACAGAGCGTTTCAAACTTCCGTAGCGTTCATTGTACAAACATTTTGACACGTAAGTGTGTTGAAAATGTTACAGAACACACACTTTGGAAAAACAGGGCCAGTGGAGCGTGTTACTTTCATGGTGGTGAGCAGGAACTCGAATGAGATTTCTCCGGCAGGTTCGGCTACTTCATATAAGAATTCTGAGCTATTCAGGAGGAATTTCGGGAAAACTGGCACTGATTAAATTGTGCACGTCTGATGTAGCAATAAGTGAGAAGTACAAAAAGGTGTGATACTTTCTTTAAAAAAAACATTGTGAGGGTTTCTCAGCGCCAATCAAATGCAAAGTAACCGTTCCCAGATTCAGATCTAGTGACGCCCATCACCCGTCAGGTGATGATGATATCATTGTTTATGGCACTAGTACTTCCTTGCTCGGAGTGAAAGGAGGCGAAGAAAGCGGGTCGACGAGGCGAGGGCCACACGAACCCCTGTCACCAGTGCCTCACCGATCCCCTTGAACAGGGTACGTGAGACGGATGGGTCCAATCTTATCTGACCTTGTCTGATCTCATCTGATCTGACCTGACCTTATCTGACCTGATCTGATCTGACCTGATCAAATCTGGTCTGATCTGATCTTATCTGATATGATCTGATCTGATCTGATCTGACCTTATCCGGTCTGATCTGACCTGATCTGATTTGACCCGGTCTGATCTGGTCTGGTCTGATCTGATCTGATCTGACCTGACCTGATCTGATCTCCGCTGGCTGTCACCTTACGTCATGTCACACGGTGCCAGTCCCTTGTAGTGTGCGCTGTGCTGTAATGCAGGTGCAAGCCCGGCACATGTCGTCTCCGTTATTCATTACATGCTGGGTGTAAGGTTGCAATGCCTTAACGTACAACAAGCTGTGATCACTGACTGCCGTGGATGGATGCACTTATATGTCCAGCACTAGCGCACTGGGTATTGGGGACCTCGACAATGCAAATGGGGAGGCAAGACGCTTTTGATTTTTTAGCGCATGCTTCCATCGGGTTAATGTCATATTTCATGCATGACTCAATTACTATTTTCGACTAAACCTAAGCCAATGGCTGCCGCTACATGGTCCCAACGAGCGTTCCGTTTCTTCGACTATCGTCGTGTGGAAGCGTGAAAGATCTTCCAGGCCGTAGGGAAAACATCGTGACTTGACTTAGCAGATTAACGACCGTGAGTCCAAATTATAGTCACATCACAACTCCATTTTGGTTGCGTCATCGATGAAGAATGGTGAATAAAGCGTACCGCATTGTGACTGCCTGGATTTGGTACTGACTTCCGTTACGCGGTAAATAGCGTCCAATTATCCTGAAATCGGGTTTGAGATATCTTGCGATTTTCAGCATCTTTGTTGAGCAACTTTCCAAGGAAACGCGTCTTGCAGAGAGCAGGACAGGTTGAACGTGTAAACGCATCCAACAACTGCCGTCCGGATAACTAAGTTGGTTAGTGGCAAGAAGGATCGCGCCGAGCATCGCGGCACATTTGACTGTGCCCCCTCCCCCTCCCCCCAATGCTGACATTGACCGGGCATTGACCCAACGGATGATCGGGGTTAGGACTCAAGCACTGCTTAGCGTGAGCTCTGATCCTGTAAACATATCTATTGAAAAGGTTCGAATTATGTTTTCAACATAAAAACCTAGCAATCCACACAATGGGCATTAATCAGAATATTTTTCACATATTATCATATATTAGATAATTCCAACATATCACGTCATTATCACTATTGCAAAATGGTATTTCTACACGAGGAAGATGGTGCTGACAAAACATCTGCATTCACTCTTGCACAACACTGTTCAACATAAACTTACGCACGACAAGAATCCTGCTGACAAAAGTGCAATCAGAATCTTAACGTGGCAAAATTTTCACAAGTACGATTACCGCGGACACAACTTGTATGCAAAGATTCTTGCACTAGCGGAAGTACTGCCATCAACATTCACATGACAAAATGTCCACAGACAGTTGCCGTTTCATAACACAGTAGTGTCACTCACAAGTTTTGATCTTAAAAACAAGTGCTCGTGGGTTGGCTTCGTTCAACGACGGGGCGTATATGTACAATGAGTGGTTGGATTATTTCGGCATCCACTCAACACCATTCATAGGATTCCCCGGCTAATCCAAACTCTGGCTGCCGGGATGCCTGAGGGGAACCGGGCGTGATGTGCTGGCTACCAGGGACGTTCATATCCTGCTCTCCAGATTTCCACCGCCGTTGGAGCATTGTTACGCATTTCAAAAATTCAAGAAACCCGTACATACTACCACTGGGAATGCTACATCCCTAATATGTAGTGAATAATGAATACTTCCAAGTGTCAATGCTGCTGCGATTTATTTGTGTTAACTGATTTTTTAGTGGCATAAAAACACACCCGGTGAAGCCAGAGAGAGTGCTGTTTCACTATAGCATTGAGTTCCTCTGAAATACTTACTGCATTTCCTGGACACTCTTATCGTGCCTGTTGCTCATCGTTCTTCACTCGATGTGTGTGGTTTCTTCGGATATTTCTCAAATAAAAGCGTTGCGACCGTTTGGGTAAAGTTGGTGTGTGGACGGAAAGATGCACATAATGACAAATAAGTGGATGGCGAATATAGTTAATGCATCAATGCACGCGGCGACGAAAATTTCGCTAAGACTCTGACCACAGTTTCGATTACGGCGTGTTGTATTCGGCACCACTTTCGAAATGTCGGCATTTCCGGCTTGCGCGGCGGCTATCCGTGCAACCGTGCGTCGCATTAACTCCCCATGCCCCATGAATAAGGGTACGTCAGGGACCGCACCTCCGACACCGCGCGATGCCGCGTCCAATTGTCCATCTAATTGTGTCAATATCTTGTCACTCCGACCCCTGATTGCCGAGACGTAGCCACGATTTCGAACGGCTGCTCGTCGGATTTGGAGAGGGTCGCGTTTTCGGGCCGCCCGCTTCAAAACCAATGGACCTTAAACGGCGCTTCCGCCACGTGCCACGTCCGAACCCGAATTGCAGCGGCTCACGCCAAATTGGCTCGAATCCCACGTGTGTCGATGTAATTCCCCGACGAGAAGGCGGGAGGGGGGGGGGGGGGGCATTTTACCACGGACGGGGCGGTTTATTGCATTGCATTGTACATAAAGACATTCCATCGTCGCTTGGCACCCATGCCACTTTGGTGATTGGGTCAGTGTCCACGCATCAAGACATGCTCAGCAAGGAAACCGATCCGAGCGTTTCTCGAGCGAACAACTCACGCAACCAAACGTGCAGAAATTTAAAAAATGGGGCAGCGATTCTAGACGACTTATCAGCCACGGACATCACTGCTACGCGGCCTCATTGCTAGGTGGTAATACTGCTGTGAACAGAGTTGCTGAGGTCAAAACGCCTGTGCACGTTTAGGCCACGTAAGCACATGGAAGTAAGCGTATTAAAACCTTTATTTTTCACTGTTAGGTCGGGCTAAGTCGTGTTGAATACATCCACAGCCCAGTACTGATATTCTGTCGTCAAGGAATTTTGTTTCGTCACATCTTGCCGAGTATACTTTTTAACCATTCCAGTCTCGTCAGGACAAATTCAGTGTCTCTGGAGCACAAAAAATCTTAAAATCCATGACACAGATCTTTATGGATCCCCAGGCATAGCACAATGACATTCATCGGGCCTCGTTTTCTTCCGCAGGACTGACAGCTGCCTGCATTCCGATGTTAATAAGTACGAATATAGGGATGCCATGAGAGCGGAGTAGTTCTGATAGTGATCTGACTTAATTTCCGCTAAAATGAATGCATAAGATTGTATTTCATTTTCGCAAGGAAACCCGCAAAATTTCTTTAGGGCTCGGTTGGTCCGCAGATTCGCTCGTAGCTGTCAT